GCAATTACCACTCGGTGGCATGGAAGGCAGAAGAGGGGCCCAGGTGGGGTCGGGGGGGACAACCCCCGCGTTGCACCTCCCTCTCCTTGCACCTCACCCCTGCACACACACGGGGTGTTTGCAGGGCTTTTTGCATGCGTGCTGCTGCCAGCTCAGCTCAGCGCTGACTCAGGCGGACGGCATGCAGTGTGTGCACTGAGTTTGTGCGTTCCCAGCCTGCACTGTTAACCCTCCGCCTTCCTCCCACCGCACAGTGCTTACCCTGATGAGCTCGGCCCCAAGCACTGGAGTGACAAACGCTATGAAAACCTGATGAGGCTGAAGCAGGAGGCTCTGAGCTACGCCCGGGGGCTGCGGGCGGATTACATCCTGGTAGGGACAGGGCAGCATGCGGGTGTCATGACACATGGGGTGTGGGTGTCCCCATGCCTCCAGCACCAGCTCTGTCCCCGCAGTTTGTGGACACGGACAGCATCCTGACCAACAACCAGACCCTCACCTTCCTCATGGCGCAGAACAAGTCGGTGGTGGCCCCAATGTTGGACTCGCAGACGTTCTACTCCAACTTCTGGTGCGGGATAACGCCCCAGGTACAGCCCAGAAGCCGTGAGGGGCTGCCTAGCGTTGTGTCCTGGGCACTGTCACCGTCACACCTCTGTGTCACAGGGGTTCTATCGCCGCACAGCTGACTATTTCCCCACCAAGAACCGGCAGCGCCGGGGCTGCTTTGCTGTGCCCATGGTGTACGCCACGTTCCTGATCGACCTGCGGAAGGAGGAGACGGCACAGCTGGCCTTCTACCCACCCCACCCCAACTACACCTGGGCTTTCGACGATATCATTGTCTTTGCCTACTCCTGCCAGGAGGCTGGTGAGGGTCAGCGGTCTGGGAAGGGCTGGGGTCAGCCTCTGTGGTGCTCACCTTCCTCGCCCTGCAGGTGCTGAGGTCCATGTGTGCAACCAGCAGCGCTTTGGCTACATCAACGTCCCTGTGAAGGCCCACCAGACGCTGGAGGATGAGCGTGTCAACTTTGTGCATCTCACGCTGGAGGCCATGGGTGAGCTCCAGGGGGTCCCTGTGCTGTTCCTGTCAGTGACAGAGGGCTGCAGGCTCCATGGAAGGGATTTTCCATCTCTCCGCAGTGGATGGTCCCCCCATGCAGCGCTCCAGGCACATCTCCATCCCACCCAAACCACTCACTAAATTGGGCTTTGATGAAGTAAGTTCCTCCCAATGCCTCTCCTCTGCACCTCCTGCCCTGGTGTTCAGCCAACCCCATGTCCCCTGTCCCACACTGCAGTGATGTGCCCCCCCTCCCCTGCCCTGGTGAGACTCTTCTCTTCCTCCCCAGATCTTCCTCATCAATCTGGTGAGGCGGCCGGACCGGCGCCGGCGGATGCTGGAGTCCCTGCAGGAGCTGGAGATCGCTGCGCGGGTGGTGGACGCAGTGGATGGGAGGTGACTGTGTAGTTTGTCACCCTGGGAGGGAGTTGGGTGCTGGGGACACCGTGCTGACCCACCCTCTCGCCTTGTAGCACCCTCAACAGCAGTGACATCAAGGTGTTGGGAGTGGACCTGCTGCCAGGGTACTATGACCCCTTCTCTGGCCGCACGCTCACCAAGGGGGAGGTTGGATGCTTCCTGAGCCACTACAACATCTGGAAGGAGGTATGGGGCAGAGGGGCACCAGCACGGGGTAGGGACCCTCTGTATAACATCGGTTCTCTCTGGATAACCTGGGGAGAGGGCCTCTCCTTCAGGGTGAGTGGCCCCAGTATGGCACAGTATAGCCCAAAATGGCCCAGTGCGGTGCCAGTGTGGATCAGCAGCTCTGTGTCCTCCCCACAGATCGTGTCCCGGGGGCTGCAGCGGGTGCTGGTCTTTGAGGACGATGTGCGCTTCGAGGTGTCCTTCCCAGCACGGCTGCAGCGGCTGATGGAGGAACTGGAGGGAGCACGACACGACTGGGACCTTGTGTAGGTGCTGGGGATGAGGGGTGCGGGGTGAGCGCTGGGCCAGCTCTGACCACTCACCCTGCAGCTACCTGGGGAGGAAGCAGGTGAACGCAGAGGATGAAGCTCCTGTGGAGGGTGTCCGGAACCTGGTGGTAGCTGGGTATTCCTACTGGACCCTGGCATACACCATCTCCCTCCGTGGCGCGCAGAAGCTGCTGGCTGCCGAGCCCCTCTCCAAAATGCTGCCTGTGGATGAGTTCCTGCCCATCATGTACGACAAACACCCCAAGTAAGGAGCAGGGCTGCGCTGCTGTGGGAACATGTGGTTCTTCTCCATTGCCACCATCCCACCCCGTCTCTCCCCTCCACCCTGGCTGGAGGAAAACATCTGCAGCATGAGCTCATTCCCCCCCAGCCCCGCCTGGCCGCCGGCTGCCGGAAAATGGCCCTCTGCCAGCACGGGGTGGCGGGGATGGAGCTGGGGTGTGGGGCTGGCCTTGTGGAGGGCTCAGCCCCATTGAGAGCACCTCACCGGGTGGGGGTCCTCGAGGGGGAGGCAGCTGGAGGTGGGCAAGCGCTGGGGGAGAGGATGTGGGAAAAGGGGAGAGCGGGATGGTAAAACGAAGGGTTGGAAGGGTTTGGGGGGAGCACTCCGAGCACACAGAATCTCTGGTGCGAGTGTCACTCCCAAAACAGTGCCACCGCCCGTGCACCCACTCCATGGCTGTGTTCTCCATCGCTCCTTACGTGTCCTTCTCTTCCTGCTCTCCCCAGCGAGGACTACAAGAGGCACTTTGCCCCACGGGACCTGCAGGTGTTCTCGGCTCACCCACTCCTGGTTTATCCCACTCACTACGCCGGGGACAGCAACTGGCTGAGCGACACAGAGACCTCCACCATCTGGGATGATGACTCCAAACAGACAGGCTGGGTGGGCTCTCAGAAGACCCTGAGGGACCCGCGGGGTGGTGGGGGGTATCTTCGCTCTGCATCTCACGATGAGCTCTGAGGATGCTGGTGCTGGACATGAACACTTCCTGGGAGCAGCCAGACTCTCCTCACCCACCCATGGGAAGGCACTGGTGAGCAGAGGGCTTACTCCTGCCTGGACCACTAGCAGGGATGCTCACTGCTTTTTTCCATAGGGACCAGGCGTCGTAACCCAGGGGGGAGCATCGTTGATTGGGTTCTCCCCCTGGCATGCTCCAAAGTGAGATTTGTCCCTGGGACTGTTGGCAAAATGGTGCCCAGACAGACAAAGGGGCTGTCAGACCGTGGTGCTCCGGCTCTGCACTCTCCTGAGTAGTGCAAACTGTTTTTTGGACGTCACATGTGGATTTGCTGGTGCAGGAGGAGGGTGGAAGGCCCTGGAAGTGCACATGTGGCCTCCTGCCACCCCTGCCTGTTCTATATCTGGGCTGAAGCCCAGGAGGATTAAAACCAACTGTGTTGGAGCTGACGTCCCTGGCTGCAGGCTGTGCTGGGCAGAGCTGCCCCCAGATAACACTGGTGACAGTGCCTTCCCTCATTTGTTCTGATGTTCTCAGCAGATGTTTTGGCCTTTGAACTGAAAACCTTTTGCTAATTTGAGCACCAGGATGTGCAGCTGAGTCCTGCTGGTCTCTGGCATGTGTCACGTTTGTGGCCAGATTTGGAGGAGGGTGTTTGCTTTACAAGAGCCAGGGATTGTCTGCTTTGTGCTAAAACCTCAAGTCCCCAGAGCAAGTGAACACTCTGCAGGGCAATGCTTGGTTGAAAACTGGGGGAGAGAAGCAAGTTCCTTGAAAATGCTGCAACTGACCCTAGTCTGGGTGGGCTAGGGGAGAGGTGTGCTTCTTGCCAAGTCTCCAGAGCTGCTGCTCTCCCCTCTATTGCTTCTGTGGCTGTGGTACCCTGGATGCAGACCTTGCAGGGTGAGGAGATTGGGATGGGAGCTGTAAACAGAGGGTGAAGTTTGGGTACCAGCTGGAGCAGAGGAAGGAGATGGCAGTGGCACTGCAGTACGTGGGGCTCTGTGAGGTCCCAGGCTGCGTTCCAGTGCCTGCTGGGGTGCGGGCATGGAGCTGCTGTGCTTGCAGCTTGTAGCTCAGACAGGACACTAAGCTTTTGGGATGCTGGAGAGTTGCTGGAGGGTAGAAGGCATTCCCTAGCAGCTCTGGCAGGAGAGCTGTAACAAAGCTGGCCAGGAGCTTTCAGAAACTCCAATGTTTTGGCAGAAAACAGCCTAACTCAGAAACTATGACAGCCTGAAACCTCCCCACTAGTTGCTCCAGCTCTGTGGGAGCAGACTGGTCAGATCGTGAGCTAGAAAATTCCAGGCAGCTCTGCCTTTCCGTGCCACGGGGTGCCGGGACACCCTTACTGCACAGCCTCGACGCGGGGCACCAACAGATACTGAGGGGAAAGGGATGTTTGCGCAGGGGAAATGTGCCAGGTGTCCTGAGCGAGGCTGCAGCCACCAGCAGGGACCTCAGGGAGGGACTGAGGACGGCGGTGGTGATGGGGCAGAAGGCGCTGGTCCCCCGCAGGCAGCTGAAGGGTGAGGGGACGGCGCTGGAGCTGCCCCATGGCTGCCCCGGCCGCGCGGGGCCCGGCTCCAAGGAACACGGGTCTGGAAGAGGCTGTGCTGGGCTGCGCCAGGGCTGTGCGCTCCTGCCAGGCCTGGCGGCCACGCTGATTGTTTCCATGTTCGCTGCGCTGCCAAACAGCGACAGGGAGGAGGAGGGGGAGGAGGAGAAAAGGGGGAGAGCGTGGAGCGGGGCTCCGTGGTGGGAACGGCTCTGAGAGCTGGGCACTGCGAGCGCTGAGGTGGGGCGGCACTGTCCCCTTCCGTGGGGGTCCAAGCACGCTGCGGGGCGCAAGCACAGGCCAGACCCCGCAGCGTCTCCCTGAGGAGAAGGACAAATGCCCCGTTAGCCTCTACGTGACCCCGACACGGGACGACGCCGGCTCTGTATCTGCAAGGACCTCAGCCAGCAAGGCCTTCTGGCGCCCCGCCGCCATCTTGGTTGTGGGCATTTCCACCATCGTGGTTGTGGGCGTTTCCGCCATCTTGCTTCCGGGCAACGTCGCCATCTTGGTTGCGGGCGGCGGGGCGGGGCCGTGAGGCGTTGCGGGGCCGGGCCGGGGGGCAGTCCGTCCTTCTTCCCTGCGCGCGGTTCTGGCGGTGGCTGGGTGTCCTGTGGCTGTGGTGGGGCCCTTTAGGAGGGGCAGGGGTTGGGGATGCAGCCGGGGTCGCTGGGCTGAGCTGAGCGTGCGCCCACACACAGGTAGGAGCAGAGATGGAGGCCTCGAAGCTGTTTGCCACAGCCGTGCCCGAGGAGCAGCTGGAGGACGGCTGGGACCGGGCCCTGCGGAGGCTGTTCGGGCCCAGCCAGTGCCTGCGCAGCGTGGAGAGCCCCAGGGATGTGGGAAACCTTCCCGCCATTGTGCAGGGCAGGATGCAGGAGCAGTAAGTGCCTGGGGGCTGCTCTGTGTTCACGCCGCTGCCTTCCCTGCTCAGAATGTCCTCGGCGGTCTTTAGGGCAATCCTCACATCCGCCACCTTTCCCTGCTGCCCTCCAGCCACGTGTGTGTGCGGGCTCTGTGACAATCTCCCTGTTGGGCAGTGTGAGCCCAGCTCGTGGCTCTGTTCTTCTCTGCAGCTGGCAGAAAGGACGGGGTTTCTCCTCTTGTGGCCAGTGGGAGGAAGCCATCATCTGCTATACAAAAGCCATCAACCTGGATCCGCAGCGGGTAAATGGGACCCTGGAGAGCTGGGAGCAGGAGGCAGCATTGCTAAGCCTGTAGTATTGGCACCTCGCTTCAGGGTGCTCTTTGCTATGGTGTTAGCATGGTGCCAGCATGATTCTGGGCAGTTGAAGAATAGCTGGGGCCTGGCAGCATGGGCTGAGAGTGTCCATGGTGCAGGCAGAGCTGTATGAGCAGCGGGCAGAGGCTTTCCTCCAGCTTTGTGACTTCCAGTCGGCCAAGCTGAACTTAATGAAGGTGCTTGCATTGGCACCTGCACAGGAGCAGCACTGCCTGGCTCGTCTGGCTCTTGTCCTTGACCTGCAGGTGAGCAACCACTCGCTTCTCCCCATTTGCAGCCCTGACCTGTGACCATGTTGACTGGCTATCCCTGCAGGGCCAGTGTCTGCTGGACCAGGAGCTCTACAGTGAAGCCCTGGAGTCCTTCACACAGGCGGCTGAACTGCAGCCTCACTGCAGGGTGTTCCACCAGAGGAGGTGAAGTCAGGGCCACAGGTTGTTCAGCAGGCTGGCCCTGCCTTACTGCAGGCTCCCCATAGCCTTGTCCCTCTCTTGCAGCATCGTGTGCCTTGCTGCCCTTGGTGAGTTCCCAGAATTCCTCCGGGTGCTTAACAGAGAACTGGAGGAGGATGTGAGGAACCCTGATATGTATGTGCTCCGTGCCTTCTTCTACAAGCGGTTTGGGCAGGTATGACCATGTTGGTCCCTTTGAGGGACCCTGGCTGACCTTCCTGGACATGGGGCCACAGTAGGAAGCACCAGGTCCTGAAGGTACGTGGCCCCCTGGGCAGCTGGCCCTGTGCCACCAGGACATCCAACGGGCACTGGAGCTGGAGCCGCAGCACAGAGCTGCCCAGGCTTTGTGGCAAAGGCTGCTGAGACAAGGCCAGGAGGCCAAAGCCCAGGCAGTGTTGAAGGCTCTGTGTGGAGACCTGCGTGGGGCCCTGTATGAGATCAGCTTTGCTATTGAGAGTGACCCCTTGGCTGCTGAATTCTTCACCCTCAGGTAGTGATCGTCTTGCTGCAGGTGGTTAGCTGTACTGCTGTCTGAGTTTCCATTCTCTGTCCCTGTGTCACAGGGGGACCCTTCTCCGACAGCTCAAGAATTTCAGTGCAGCCAGCAAGGACTTAGCCAGAGCAAGGGAGCTGAGCACAGTGGGGAGCCCAGAGGCCTGGGAGGTTCAGCGGCAGCTGGTGCTCACCTACAATGATTGCGCTGTACACTGCTATGCCCTGGGCCAACTTGATGAGGCTGTAAAGCTCCTTGGTGAAGCTCTGCAAAATGAAAGGACAGAGCAGGGACTCTACGCCAACAGAGGAGGCAAGTGGCTGGGCTGGTGGTCACAGCAGGGTAACGTCAGTGGCTTGTGGATAATGCTGGGGTGTCACACAACAGTGGCTGGCACTCAGGCAGTGAATGTCTGCAGAGAGAGGTCTTGCTCTGCAGACCTGTGGCAAAAGCAGGAGGTGGGGCAGCTGGGTTCTTCCTTGATCCTGATCCCAGTGCACTGTGAGGATACATTCACTGTTTCAGTGTTTCAGCAGCGGGAAGGGGATGAGGAGTGGGGATTTGCCACTGGTGTTTCTACTCCTTCTCCATGTAGTCTGTTCTGGGGCACAGCTGGCAACTGCTGCTCTCCCCCAGATCAGGCTGCATGTGCTGGTTGTTGCAGTGCAGAGCTTTTGGCTATGATGCTGAAACCTGGGGTGGGCTGGACGAGAGGTGTGTGTTTCCCACTGGCTCTAGACAAAGCCCTGGGACAACAGCCAGCCCCTCTCAGTTGCTGAGATAGCCCTGCTTCTCTGCAGATTGCTTCTTTTGCCTGGGGGAGCTGACCTATGCGCTGGCAGATTACCAGCAGGCACTGGAGCTGAGTCCAGGGAACCGTGCTGTGCAGGGACGTGTTGCAGCCGTGTTGCATGAGAAGGGCTGGCAGGACTTGGCAGCCAGGTGAGGAGCAGGGTGGTGTAGGCTGCCTGAGGGCCTGTGGTGAGCCAGACACACACTGCTGTCTCCTTGCAGGCGGTTCCTGCAGGCAGAAGCTTGCTTTACTATGGCCATTGAACACGACCCCCGAGAAGCACTGTACTACCTGTGCCGTGCCATGGCCAAGCGGTGCCTAGGGAAGGTGGAGAGCTCGAGGGAGGATGTTGCACTCAGTCTGTGGCTCAGCCCCACGGATAGCAAGGTACAGCCCTGCTGCTGCTGCTCCTCAGGCAATGGGCAGCATTCCTGGCTCAGCTGCAGGCACTGTGTTAGGTGGTTTCTGTTCTGCATCAGGGCCACCTGTAGGTATCAAGAAGCATGAGCTGGGGGACCTGCTAGGCTACAGGTCCAAGCCAAGCAGGAGCCAATGGTTGGCTTTTACAAGAGTTTGGTGTTTGGAGTCATTGGACAGATTGTCTTCTGCTTATTCTCACTTTCTTGTTTCTTTAATTCAGGGCAGAAGCCCTTCTGCAGTTGACTGTGGGCAAGGGGAGAGTATCCCCACACTGCTGTCTCCAAGCATTGTGCTGTTGTAGCAGCATGGTTCAACAGATCTGGGATTTCTTTACAAAATCAAAACCAAGCAGGTTCCCTGTCAGAGCAGGTCCTGGTGAGGCTGGCAGGTGTTTGGCTGCAGCAGGGGAAACCTGTGGTACGGAGCTCATTGCGGGCAAGTTTTTCTGTGAGTACTGATATGTCAGGAGGATGTTCAGGTCTTGCCTTGTTGCCACTGCAGATCCTTTCCCTTGCACAACACCTCTTTCCAAGAAAGACTGTCCAGGCTATCCTGAGGAGCCTTGCCCAACAAACTTCGGATAAAACACTTGAGTCCTCCAAGACTTCCATCTGATGATGCCTGATGGACAGAAACAGTAGGTGTGTGCTGGTGGTGGGGGGGTAATTTGTCTTGGGTGTTAGCCTGCTGCTGCTGCATGTGCTAAACAGGGTTTGTTCAAACTCTGAGGGCTTTGTTTGTTCTGGACCACAGAAGCGCGTTTTGGCAACCTGACTGCTGAATTACCCTTGTTGCCAGAGGCTGTTTTTGCCACTTTCTCCACCTAAAAGGCGTCAGTAGGTTGCTGGAATGTCTGTGTGGGAAACTTGTTCCAAGCAGAACCCTCATTCCTTCTCAGCCCTCTTAGCTAAAGGGTCTGATGGGTGTTTGCTGTAGACCTGCAGCATTGCCTGGGTACTGGTGCCTGTCCCCACGCTGCTGATGGCAAGAGATAATGTAAAGGAGTTGCTGTGGGTTTCACCTGCACTGGCACTAGTCCTGGGAACACAGCCTCGTATGCAGAGATGTGCTCTGCACAGGGGAAAAATGGGCTGCCTGCAGCAGTGGCAGGACAGACCTTGTGGCTTTCTTGTACCTACACTGACTTCTCTCTCCAGGGTGCCAGGGCCAGTTACTGCTGTTTCACCTTCACCCCTGGGAAAGGCCACTGTCTTGTTTCCTGTTACCTAATTATAGAGCATCATCTCTATGCCTCTAAATCCCCAAAGTGCTATTGCATCAGGCAGCTGTGCCCATGAAAATGCAAGTCTAACTCTGTCCGTGATAGCTGCTGTTAGGAGTCCAAGCAAATGACTGTTCCTCAACCATTTATTTCATAAAAGATTTATTTTAAATTTAGGAATACTAACATTTCTGCAGGCAGGATGGTCTGTACATGGACCAGCTCCTGGGCTGCATTTAGGCTCTTCCTCCAATGGCTGTCCATGAAGCTGCAGGAAGGCTGGAATGGTCCTGAGTGGTAGCAGCTCATTTCAGCACAGGGCATGAGAGGAACATCAGGGACCTTCAGCAATGTCCCTGTTCACAACCCCCTCAGGCAGTTCATTCTCAGAGTATGAATGATTCTCTGACTTGTGCTCCAGTAAGCGACTGCAGAGATTAAAATGGGACAAAGGCCAGCAGTGCATTACACCCCATGCTTGACAGCGTGGAGTACAAACTTCTCTAACTTGTCCTCAGGTCTGCACATAAGTGGCACTCCTGTGAAGCTGAGCAGAGCTGGTTCATCCAGTGCCTGCAAGGTCTGACCAGCAGAAGGACATCAAAAAAGCTTGAGTTCATAGCACCAACACCTCAGCCTGCTGTAGAAATTACCACTGAATAAATGTATTTTTAAAAACCATTAATGTCACCATGGTCTCCTCTGGAGGTAGGAATGAACTTTTCTTTGTAGGTAAGTCCTGTTTTTTCTCATTTTCATGGTTTGCTGCAGAGAAATCCTTTGGACCTTGGGGGAAAGATGGGCAAAAGGACAAGTAGGGAGAGCTGAGTTCTTGGCAGGCTGAGCATTGCCATATTCCTCGTTATGTCCCTATTTTGGTTGGTGCTCCCTACCAGCACCTATTCACAGTGAAAGGAAACTGGAAAGAAGTTGGCTCTAAAATGTCCTTGCAACAAAAAGGGTAATGTTGAGGGTGTTCACCAGCCAGCAATGCAGCAGTCAGCACCAGCATTGTCGCGTTGTACCAAGGAACTGAGGTACTGCCATGCTTAAAAAGATGGCTTTAAAAATTGCTAAAATGATGTATTTAAAAAAAAAAAGTTCTTTTTTGGGCTCAGAATCTTCATGTGTTGGATAACAGAAGCTGTCAGAAGAGGAGAGAGCTACAGATTGGTACTGCTGACAGGGTAAGAAACCTCCCTGACACTGCAGTCTCTCCTGACATCTTCCCTTCTTCATCACAGATACGACTTGAGTGGTGCACCAGGCTGAGCATATCCACCTTCACCTGGCCACAGAATAAATGATAAAGTGCTTTAAATCAAATCACTTGCACTTGCTCCCACAGTTGCATTCTGCAGTAGTGCCCTTGGGGCTGGAAAGACAAATTCAGCAGGAGAGCATTTGTGCTACTGCATGGTAACATGTAGCTCCTGGTGCTCATCCCACCAGTCTGCAGCTTTACAGCCCCATACGGATCTGAGCAAGGCTAGAAGAAAAAACTGATCCGAGAGGCTACAGTTTTGCATCCTGTTGATGAAAATAATTTCTCTTCTTCTGGGAAGTAGGGGATGCTGTCAGCCACCTCCTGGACAACACCTTGACGTACTTCTAACCCTTGCTGCACAAGTTCGTTGATGACGCATTGCTTTACATGGTGGTGCTTCAGTGGGAGGAAGGGCACGACAAAATCAATAAGATGTTCGTTAATAATCCCAGATTTCCAGAATCCACCTGCAAAAGCAAAGGAGGAGATAGAAGATTTTACTTTTGGTGTCCGTGGTCCTTGGAATTCAAGGAACTGCTTTGTTTGAAGCCAGAGTACTCGGCTGAAGACAATGCTGCTTGTTTTGTACAAGGACTTAAACCAGCAGTTGTCAACCCCTCCTTCCCCAGATAGATTTGTCTTTCCCCAGGAATGGTTAGGTTTAGCTGAACTGCTCAGATTTTAAGCTCTGCTCTGTGACAAGGACAAAGCAAGGATCCAAGCAGGCAGCAGGGATTGACACTTCTGTGCCTTTTCAGTGAGTGTGCTCTGCTGTTTGTCATACTTTGTCTGAATACACATTTTCTCCAAAGAACTTTGCTAAGCATGCTAACAGATCTGTTGCCTTGAGAAGCAGGCTATTCGTTCCCTCTGCCAGAAAATCTTGAGGAGCTCACAATTCCTTTCCCTTCAAATCCCTGTCCCCTTCTGCCTGCTTAGGAGATCCCAGAGAGCATCTGTGGCTGTGTGGAGTGGGCCTGGCTCCCTCTGCTGGGCTCTGCTCCCTGCTGAAACACTGCAGAGATTCACTCACTCTGAGGGTTCTCGAACACCGCTTTGGAGATGGCTGCCTCCATGTCCTGCAGGCTGATCTCCTCCCTGTCCCGGTGGGCACGCCAGAGATCCAGTGTCATTTCATTGATCTGCTCTCCTCCTGCGTTGCTGCACAAGAATAAGACAATTTACTACCCAGGAAAATGGTATCACAGGACAGAGGGCATCTGCTGCCCTCCAGCTTGCATGAGCTCAGTCCAGGCTTGCCCTGTTGCCTGGCCTAAAAGGACTCCTGTAGAGGCAAGCAAATAACGGGAAGAGGAGAGCTTTTTCAGAAACTCCAATTTTGACTGTTCACGAGGAAATAACATCTGTTGGTTTCTGCAGAAGCTCAATGCTTGGAAAAGGAAAAGCAAAATGAAAGCATGAAATAGGCATCGTCCTGTGCCCAAGTGAGAAGCAGTGCACTGGAATGCCCTGTGATGCCCCACCTGCCACACAGGGGCATCTCACCTTATGAAGATGAAGATTGCTTTGCGGTAGTTGGTCCCATACACAACCCATGAGGGTCCCAGGAATGGCATGATCACATCAATCAGGCCCGGGTGCATCTTGTCCATCTCCTCAAAGAGAAAGACTGACCGTCCGCAGTTCGTCAGGTTCCCTTGGATCCAATGCTTCAGGTTCTCCTAGGAAAAATATCCACCAGACCATAAAGCAGGCCTGAGCTGCTGCAGTGCAAGGGCTGAGGTGAAGCACAGAAGCAGCTGTGCAGCACCACCTACTCAGAACAGGAACAGCCTGAGGCAGGCTGCTTTGTCCTGGACCTGGCACGGTGACTTATCTGTGCCACTTATTAGCTCATTATAGGTCCTCTATTGCAGATTTAAAGCAGTAAGAAGGAGGCAGCGAACTAAAGCTGAGTATTCAGCCTCCTACAGCTCCCTACATTCTTCTCTTTCATTGCATTACAGTTCCCAGTTACTGGGAGGGAGACGCGCTTGTTGCCGCCTCCTTTTCTGGTACAAAATTGTGTGCCTGCACCAAATGAGAACAGCTCTGCCTTTCCTTACTAAGCCTGAAGTTACTTCAGTGCCAACCCACACACGAACACTTAGATCTCCTGGATATGCATATACCCCTTAATTGCATCGTTTTACCCAGCATGAGGGCTTTACCCTACTGAGCACATCTCTTCTAAGCATGTAAAAGAACACACAACTCCTCCAGACGCCCAGAAGGAAAATATCCAGGTGTGCTGGTTTCCCCACTGCTGAGGTTTCATTTAGAAAACCTCCACCTCCGGATTTCTCGCCTGTCAGCTGCAGGAGCCACAAGTTAAGCTGTGTTTGGAAGCTCCTCGTTGGGTGAGGAGGCAATTATCAAGTCCAGCCATGCAGCTATTGATTTGGAAAGCCAAGAGACAATTTCAGGGGAAGGGCACTAAGTGAAACACTTTGGCTGCGTATTCAAAGGGCCGTGTAAATATTTAAAGAGGCAGAAAACGACAGCAAGAGCGGCTGCTGGGAAAACAGAAGCGCGTATCGCAGAGGATCCTTCAGCCACTGCGTGGAGCCTTTGCTCCAGCGTCTGGCAGGGGGCGAAGCGCAGAGCTGCAGCCCCGCTGCCTTCAGGAGCGGCCTGAGCGTGCGCTGAGCGTCGGGACGGCCGCAACCCGGCCGCGGTGCGCGGGGCGGCGCTCACCTTGTACCGCTCCACGTGCTCCGCGTGGGGGAAGTGCACGATGGGGGAGAACTGATGGACGTGGCGGCTGCGCAGCCCCTCGGGGAAGAGGTGCCGGACCAGCATGGAGCTCACGAAGGTTTTTCCCGTCCCGGTGGAGCCGTGGAAGGACATGACGAGGGGCTTCTCCGGGCTGCGCTTCTCCAGGAACCGCCTCAGTCCCTTCATCAGCTGCTGCCTCACCAGGGGCTGCCCCACCAGGGTCACGGCCAGCTCGCACTCCAGACCTGCGCCAAAAGCAAATCCTTTACGAAACGACGGGCCGACGGCTCCCGTCCTGCGGTCGCCCCAACGCCGCCGCGCCACCCCCGATCCAGAACCGGAACCTAACCGCGCAGGTCGGGCCCGAAGCCGCACTCGCAGTCCTCCGTGAAGCTGCAGCGCAGCGCCCGCAGCGCCCACAGGTCCCAGGCGGCGGCGGCGGCCGAGAGCAGCGCCAGGCTCAGCGCCAGCACCGCCGCGGAGCGACACATGGCGGCCGCGGCTGCGGCACCGCCCGCACTACAGCTCCCGGCGTGCACCGCGCGGTCGGCGGGGCGTGGCCACGCTGGGGTGGGCGTGGCTTCGCAGCAAGGGGGCGTGGTCTGGCCAGCACAGCCCCGCCCACACACCGCCCAATGCCGGCGCTGTGCCTGCGCCCGGAGCCCCGGCCCTCAATCCCCACTCCAGCAATGAGCGACCACGGCATGCCGGTGTGGAGGAGTCCCTCCAGAGGGAGAGCGTAAAAGTTTATTGTATGTAAGAACCAAGGCCGTGAGCTATGTACACGTATTTACAGGACAAAATGCATGAGCCTAAGTATTTACACCAGAAACTGTCCCCGCGAATCTGTACATCCAGAAATGACCGTGAAAACATATTTACAAGTGGAACCCCAGGCGAGAGGGAGATGGGAAGGGAAGGAATCTGAAGGAGGAGAGGGGCACCATGCAGCCATGGACTGCGGTAGGGCTGGGCGATGGACGCTGTCCCCATCCCCTGGGGTGGCAGTGCCAAGGAGGTGAGTGGCGGATGGGAAGTGGCTGTTGTTCCTCCTCCTTGTCCCCAAATTTCCACCGTGTCTCCCATGAAGAGGCTTTCCGTTGCTGGGGGAGGGAGTTACAGCTCGCTGAAGCGCACTGCTGGTTCCAGCTTGTGGGACAGGGCAGTAAGGACCTTGTCGAACTTCTCGTAGCGCTCGGCCTGGCTGCTCTCAGCCCCACGGCTGCCCCAGAGCAGCCGCAGCTGGAACTCGGTGCTGAAGATCTCCAGCAGCTCCGCTCTGCCCTGGAAACCTGCAGGGAGGGAAAGTCAGTCCCATGGAGACGGGATGGGGACCCTGCACCTGTGTGATGTTCCATCCAGCACTGCCACCGGTGAAGGGAAAAGGGCCAACCCCGTCCCCATCTTGCTTACCCTGCAGCTTCACCTCGGCGTTGGTGTGGTACAGTCCGCCGTGGTGGGCCACCATCCGTGCAGCTTCCAGGTGGGCCATGACCACCTCCACGCCATTGTCCGTGGCCTCCCAGGGCTCAGGGCTGTCCACCAGCGCGTCGTCCCGCTCCAGGAGAGTCACCAGGGGCATGACGTGGGGAAAGGTGGTGTTGGTCAGCGGTGG